AGTTTGACGTTGTGGTCAAAAGCGTCACCAAGCTTTTTGAATTCATCAATGATCTTGAGATGAAGTTGCTTGTTTGTAATATTCAATATCATGGTTGTTAGTCCAATTACGCCAATGCAGTCCAAAAGATGAAGAAGTCTACAACCTTCTTTGATACAAAATTTATAGACTACACCGGGCTCATGGAGAAATCCTTTCTTGCAGTGGTCGTTGCTGCATATAGTCTGGAGTTTGATATTATCACGGGTTTCATTGAGCCTTTTTAATTCGTCAATAATCTTGTGACGATTATTGACGTATTGTTTGTATGTTCGATTTATGAAAAAATTAGCTTCTATTATTGAATACTTGTTGACATTTCTGAATTATTCTGTGATGTGAAATAAATTTTATCTGCATAAAAACATTTACGTTGGGCATGGAAATATGCTGATATTATGTCAGTTATGCTTATTATTTCATCACAATCGTGGTCCGGCAATTCGTGAACGCGAATAAAAAATTTAGTTTCTTTTGTAACACGTCAGTTTCCCTACCCCCAGCTTGTTTGAGGTTATAAATACGGTGTATGTGCATCTAAACTCGAACAACGCTTATAAGTATCCATCCCTCAGGGGGGACTTCTGACGCGTGTCTGTACTCGTCAGAAGTCCTATGGGATTTCGCGTTCCTAGGGGGATTGTTCCTGAGCGCCCCACCGCTGAGCTCGATGTGTCTGACTGCAGATCTCAGTTGTGGGGTTAAGTTATTATNCGGCTTCATCCTACAAGTACAACTGTGTGTGATGTAGTACGGCTTCATCACACAAGTACAACTGTATGTGATGCAGTACGGCTTCATCCCACAAGTACAACTGTATGTGATGTAGTACGGCTTCATCCGAAAAATACAATCGTATGTGATATAGTACGGCTTTGATTATTATTGATTAGCAACAAGATTTTTCAGACGATGAAGGAGTAATCTTGCTTACACATGCAGAGACTTCGAGTCAGACGCTAGACTGCATTTAGGAAGACCCGATCAAACTATCCTCCTTGTTTAAACTATCACTTTGTAATAACTATCGCAATATCCCCACACTACACCTTGTATGGTTTTATCATTTCCCCACAGACAGGCAGAATGATCGCGGCCTTCAAGGTATATATAGTGAGTGGCAGGCTTCAGCTTCACGCATGCTCCCTCCCTACACTCAGAAAAATGAATGGTTTACTTGTACAAATATCAACACTTTCTTGCCCACAACATGAGCCTTTAGTAGAAGTTGCACTGATACTCGCTTTGCCTGGCCAAACTGGGTCAATCAATTTCATACGCGGGTACAAAGTGCATCGTTACTTGAATAATTTTTCGCTTATTTCTCTGAGTGCACGACCAGGACATCTTGTCATTTGTCTTCGCAACTGCTTATTGTTCAGGATAAATTAACGTGTAATTCTAATGTTTGCCCGCACACGTGTCTTTACAGCTATCGTTCTTTATTTGATATGTTCTGTTCGAACGGAATTTCTCGCATAGGTTGGGTTTTCGTTATTTCAAGGACTGCGAGTTTCCGAGTTATAACTCCTTCGATTGTTACATATGTGAATATAGTTCGATAAGTTGCATTTTTAAATTTCGACGCTGGTACGGAGATGGTGGGGGTAGAGATGACCAGGGTTGTGATGCGAATGATGGCAATTAGACATCTCTGATGCGCCTGTAGTTTGCTCCTTCAATATTCAATTGTTGGTGGCTGATGGTTCATCGATTGTATAGCTATGACTGATACTGCTTGACGTATCTCAGATACCGCAATGGTTTGTTGCCTTAGCTGGCAACTATCGGCGATGCCTCGGTGGCTAACGATCAGGTATCTTTGATACCGTGGATGTAACTTTTCAACTTTGCTCGATGATACTCGGAATAGCTTGCAATCTCAGCATCAAGCTGCCGTTCGAACACCTTGCGTCCTAGAATGCAACATTATTTGCAATATCTTTTGTATGATGAAGTTAGTATCTACGTTATTACTGGTCTATTAATATGACTTAAAAATCAAGAGCAGCTATGATAATATCGTCTCACTGTGCCATAGACACGTTAATAAATGCAACGGTAAATATATCTTGCGTTTTGTCTCCAAGTGTGTACACGATTTACATGTAAACAACATCCTCTTACATGTAAAAAAGTTGTTTACAAATGGAACAACTTGTTGTTCCATTTGAATCTAGCTACTATATTGACTGCTTTTCAATCCAAGCTTTGAATGTTGCTCTTTTGATTGATTTTATACGTAGCTTATTGCTTTCACACTACACAGCGTGGCAAATTATTCATGGCTTCTGGGCTATGTATACATACGTACTACCTATCCTGCTTTAATTAAATCCCACGTTCATTATTGTTGATTTTTATCAGAGCGCCAGCCATGATTGGGTTATCAGCTACTTTCGCCCGGATATATAGATCATTATCGACGCTAAGCACGTGCTGGTGTGAATAATAAGTGCATGTGCGTTTCGTAGAGGCGTTTCAGCATTCAGAGATCGATCTCGACCCCTTTGAGAGCCGGAGTTTTATTTCAGGTTTATCCAGTCTTTGAATCGTCGGGTATTTCATGCTCTCCAGCTGCAAACTTTTCGCTACCACTAGTTGTTTTCCTCTCCATTTAGGCTTCACCCGTGCTCTCGCCGAATTAAGAGGTGCAGATTGTTTTCCTCCTCATTAATATCTGTTATCATTGTATTAAGAGGCGCTGTTTATTTTCGTCCCCATTAATACCTGTGATGTGTGCCGTGTGAGGCTTAGGGTCTCTTGTGTCACGAATTACATATTTTGCATAACAGATAATACTTTGAGGCCTCTAGTCACAATGTGTCATCAGTTACCCTACATGTCACAATGCTATGTCAGTTACCCTACATGTCACAATGCTACGTCAGTTACCCTACATGTCACAATGCTACGTCAGTTACCCTACATGTCTCAATGCTACGTCAGTTCCCCTAAATGCTACGTCTAAAGGAACGTTTTTATTGCAGATGATGGCAGGCGGCGTAGGCATCCCTGCCATCAAGTGGTGTGGCAGCGAGGGCGACTACAACGTCATGGTGATGGAGTTGCTGGGGCCTTCGCTGGAGGACCTCTTCAACTTCTGCACCAGGAAGTTCTCCCTCAAAACTGTTCTGCTGCTCGCAGATCAGCTGGTCAGTCCCCATACTTGAAAATTAGTTCTATCCCGCTTAACCTATGCTTTTTGTTTTTTTGAATTATTGGTCAAAATTCCTGTCTCTGTAATTGTACGTTCGATTTCTTCAATGAAGAATTGTTGCTGCACCCCTCATTTTTGCCTCATGATTTTTGAATGCTTGTTCTGATTTTTTGTTCTTGGATTGTGTTCCTAATATTCATTAATGAATACTAGTGTCTGAGCCTCTCGTTTGTGTGCAGATCACACGGATAGAATACATCCACAGCAAGAACTTCATCCACAGGGATATTAAGCCTGATAACTTCCTCATGGGTCTGGGCAAGAAGGGCAACCTCGTCTACATCATTGACTTTGGCCTGGCCAAGAAATACCGAGACCCTCGTACCCACCAACACATTCCCTACCGGGAGAATAAGAACCTCACTGGCACTGCACGTTACGCCTCCGTTAATACGCACCTTGGCATAGGTAAGAACTACGGGCATATGTCAGAACTGCTGGGCTTAGGTCAGAACTACGGGGCATGGGTCAACTACGGGGCATGGGTCAGAACTACTGGGCATAGGTCAGAACTAGTCTCTTATACACATCTAGATGTGTATAAGAGACAGATGCTGACGTATCTCAAATACCGGGATGGTTTGTGGGCTTAGCTGATAACAATCGGCGATGCCGCGGTGGCTAACGATCAGAGGCTATACTTTCAAAACTCGCTAAGTGAACGTAAGTTCTTACGCTCTATTTTCTTGTCTATGATTGGTGGATTTTGCTCGAAAGGCCGTCAATGATTGGCTGATGAACTTACGATCTTTTAACTTTTTTTGAAAGTATAGGCCCAGTTATCTCTGATACCGTGGATATAAGTTCTCAACTTTGCTTGATGATACTCAAATAGCTTGCAATCTCAGCATCAAACTGCCGTTCGAACACCTCACGTCCTAGAATGCAACATTATTCGCAATATCTTTTGTATGATGAAGTTAGTATCTATGTTACTTTACTTGTCTACTAATATGACATAAAAATAAAGAGCAACCATGCTAATATCGTCACACTATGCCAAAAACATGATNTCACGACTCCTGGGCATAGGTCACGACTCCTGGGCATAGGTCACGACTCCTGGGCATAGGTCACGACTTCTGGGCATAGGTCACGACTCCTGGGCATAGGTTACGACTCTGGGGCATAGGTCATGACTCCGGGGCATAGGTCATTACAGTTAACAATGTTTGTTGTCGTTCTTTTCCCAGCATAACATTGATGTTTCAATGCTAACTGAGAAAATAACTTGTATGGTTTCCTGTTATGCTATTACATTGATGTTTTAGCTCAGAAAATGACGTAGTCACTTGTTACTTAAAATCTTGTTGTTATTACAGAACAGAACTTAAACGCAGAAAATGGTCTTAAATTTGGGTATTGAATTTGTTGCTTTAATACAGAACATAGTTCTGTAACGTTCAACGTTCAGTATTGTACATAGGTGTTGTTCTCATTACAGAACATCGTTCTATAGCGTTCAACATTCAGTACTGTACATATGTCTTGTTTTCATTACAGAACAGAGCAGACGGGATGACCTGGAGAGCCTGGGCTACATTCTGATGTACTTCAACCGCGGGTCGCTGCCCTGGCAGGGCCTCAAGGCCGCCACCAAGCGGCAGAAATACGANTCTGTGCAAAGGCTTCCCTGGTGTGTGGGGAGGGTTGGGATCTGTGCAAGGGCTTTCCCGGTGCGTGGGGAGGGTTGGGATCTGTGCAAGGGCTTTCGTGGTGCGTGGGGAGGGTTGGGATCTGTGCAATGACTTCATTTTCTGTGGGGTCATGCGAATTCTGCTGCCTACTGAAAATTTCCTATGTTAGAATTTAGAAATAGAGCGTCTCATATGAATTAGATTTGTTTTAGGGCTATAAGGGCTTATTGACTCATGGTAATGTGTCCTGTGCACTGCCCGTAAGTGTCCTCACTTGGTAAGTGTCCCGTGTACCACCTGTAAGTGTCCCCGCATGGTAAGTGTACAGTGTACCACAAGTAAGTGTCCCCGCATGGTAAATTTCCCGTGTACCGCCAGTAAGTGTCCCCACATGGCAAGTGTCCCGTGTACCGCCCGTAAGTTTCCCCACAGGATAAGTTTCCCGTGTACCGCCAGTAAGTGTCCCCACATGGCAAGTGTCCCGTGTACCGCCCGTAAGTGTCCCCACGTGGCAAGTGTCCCGTGTACCGCCCTCTGCGCTTCGAAGAGAAGCCCGACTACAGTCACCTGCGGCAGCTGTTCCGACAACTGTTCCATCGCCAGGGCTTCACTTACGACTATGTCTTTGACTGGAATTTGCTCAAATTTGTGAGTGATCATCCCAGTAAACAGCAGCAACACCAGCACCAGCAGCAACCACAACCACAGCAACCACACCAACAACTCGCTATGATTAGAAGTTGAGACCGTTTTTAATAGTTGAGCTTTGCTGCGGCCGCTATCGTCTACTTCATGTCCTATGTAACTATAACTTTTTCAACAAAAGCTGCACTCCACATGCTAAATTTACTAAACAGCTTAAACTTTACTGATTTTCCCGTTCTGCTTATGAAAAAATCCAAGAACGGGTACTGTTTTCAAATGAATGTTGGCTTGATGTCCGCAACTTGTGTTGGTTTAGGCTTTTAAGCTGAGGTCGTCGAATCAAACATGTTGGAAATGGGTGGTTTGGTCGAACCTCATACCATGCTAAGGTTAGGTTCCTATTGAATCAAACATGTTTGAAACAAACGGTTGGGTCGAGCGTCATGCCATGCTGAGGTTAGGTTTAGTTCAGGTAAAACATGTTTGAAACAAATGGTTTGGTCGAGCGTCTTACCATGCTGAGGTTAGGTTTATTTCAGGTCAAACCTGAACTCGTTTTTAAGTGTCACCCACAGGCTTCGGCTGCACGTATCGCATCGCAGAACTGATTTAGTTAATGAGGATTAAATGCCCGAGAGCCACATTTCCAAAACTCGCTTAAGTATTGACGGGTTTAGCTTAAAAAGCCGCCAGAGATGGACTGACTGAGGTATGAACTCGTAAATAATTTAAATGGAACGGCCTGGGGAACTATTAAGCTCTGAATAATTTATATCATCTTACGGTGATATGACCACTGTGGAATTTCGCTTGTATTCTTGTAAATTTCTGATTCATCACAGGATTATGATCCTAATCTGCAGCCTGGGATCATTATTTAGAGTTTCTGATAGTTTAGTGTTGGAGGATCTTTGAACACGAAGGTTAACGCATCTGCTGTGATGATGTCTTCATCACTTTGTATTAACTGCGAAGTAGAAATTTAGCAAATATTAATTGAAATTGAACTCTTGTGTCAAGATTTAACTCCACTGACACTCAAGATTCAGGAATTTTTTTGTAATGACGAGAGTTATCAAACGAAACAAGTTAACCTCAGTAAAGTAGTTAATTAGATAACAACGAAAATCAAATGAAGAATTCAAGCTTAACGTCATAACTTCAGATGTATGGTGCATGCCTCATCACTTCAGATGTCTGGATTGTATGGTGCATGCCTCATCACTTCAGATGTATGGATTGTATGGTGCATGCCTCATCACTTCAGATGTATGGATTGTATGGTGCATGCCTATTTTCATCATTCATAAGTAGGAACGCTGCTTGCGCTCATACCATTCACGCCACTTCTGGTCACCATTATATCATCACAAACACCACTCATTATTTCATAATTAATGACGTCTTTAAAAGGTCATGATGTCTTTGATAGGGCTTTCTGTTGAAGAGTGTTCGCTGGATCGCTTCTCCCTTCACCATTCCATTTATCAAATGATTTTGATTTTTCTGTGTTTATTAATTGAAGAGAAATTCATGTGCGCCAAGTTTAGAAAAAAAATGTGTAGTATAGTTTTTATCTCATGCTTGCTATTGAACGCAATATGGTGAACAAATTTATTTATACTCGCCATGCATGCGAGACATGAAAGTAACACACTCAGCAAAAGTGTGGGTCACTAGTTGGACAATTTAACTCGTTCATTTTTGTTTGTGAGTGCACTAATAGACACACAAGTGTTCTCATAAATCAATTTCACAAACTCTCACTAGCTCTCACCTACTTCATTTGTTTGTTCGTCGATTGGTCATTGTCGTTCAGTGTTTTTCTTCGTCTACATTTCTGTTTCATGTGAATCACGTTATGTGCTTCTTTCTTACATATTCAATAAGCAATGTTTCATACCCACAATACTCCCAAAAATTTTTGCTAGGTTAATTTTCATTGACTGATAAGCTCGAACATTTATGTTGAACAATTTGTTTATTATTTAATGATAGGTGGCGTCTTGAGAGCGTTTAACGCGTGAGTGTTCGTTTGTCTTTATTCAACTCGTATTTGGTTTAAGAGTTCTCTTACTGATGATATTTTTAGGTACTATTTTGTTAACTCTTCTAGTGATGGCATGCCGTGTTGGCTTGAATATCGCTTTAATGGAATAGACACCAGTAGGGTTTCTTGACTGCGCAACTTGCTAACTGTTAGGCTTGCAACTACTATTCTTGTTCTCTGACATTCTTTAGATTTTTTGTGGCATGTTTTATGCGCCAGAGTAGCCAATAGAAGGACAATGTTGCTGCACTGACGGAAAGTGCACTGTGAGTGCCACTGCACTGGTGGGAAGTGCACTGCGAGTGCCACTGCACTGATGGGAAGTGCACTGCGAGTGCAACTGCACTGGTGGGAAGTGCACTGCGAGTGCCACTGCACTACGAGTGCCACTGCACTGGTGGGGAATGCACTGCGAGTGCCACAGCACTTCACTCGTCTCAAGGAATAACCTTAGACGTCTTTTGTTTTGTGACATTTTAATTTGATTAAGCGTTTTTATTGTGTAACATTCGATTGGATGGGGACGGAAGTGATAGATGGGTCATAAGTCTTCTCTCTGCCACCTGCTGTCTCGCTATTACTGCGGGAATACAGCGAAAGAATATTGTTAAATTAATATCCCTTAATGAAAGGATATTGTGTTGCTGCTTTTGCGTGCCAATCTTACGTGGCTTCTTGCATATGCGTTGCCTTGCGTCTCACTCATCCTGCTGCGGACGGGCTTGAAATACTCGAGTCTTGGTTATTATGTTTTAGACAACGCGATTGATGGCTAGTTTTCTCTACAGTTTTCTTCTTCCTGACTTTATTTCTTTTAATTGATATTAGTTTCATATTGTTGTGGTTCTTGGTGCTTCTCTGCGGTGTCGCAATGGCTTTCTTTTAGTCTTCACGAACGACGAGGTTTCAGATGCCGAGGACATCTTATGAAACAGAAATATTTCGTCTGCACAACTGCGGGCGTATTCTGTCTGCATCATCGCGAGCGTATTTCATCTGCATTACCGCGGACATATTTAGTCTGCATCATTCAGTCGTATTACGTATCATTGCAGACGTATTCCGTATCATTGCAAACGTATTTCGTCTGCATCATCGCGGCCGTATTTCGTCAGCCTATTGTCAGTCTCGGCTCGTGCGCTTTCGCATCTCCAATTGTACATAAATCTTTTTATTTGTCGCTTTACTGGCGCTGGCTNCTCGTGCGCTGTCGCATCTCCAATTGTACATGAATCTTTTGATTTGTCGCTTTACTGGCGCTGGCTGTCACAGGTTGAGCTTTTTTTCTGTCCAATTGCTATAATTAAAGTAACGCTTCAATAGGCGCCAGGATATGGTCTCTGGTTTTTCCAAATTAATTCATTCCGGGTTCCGGCTTTCTTAGTGACCATGTTAATGTGCGAGAGTTGCTGTCGCTGTTCCTTCCATTGTAGCATCACATTTTCCTGTTAACATGACCGCAGTATATACTATTTCTCCGGTATATCTTTGCTTGGCATGAACCCTGATTGGTTTAGAGGAAATGATAAGAAGCGTTTGTTTCGAAGGCTCAGAAATGGGGAATACATCGTGATGATGAATCTTTTTTTTAGATACCTGGTTGCCATCTGATCGACTGGAATAATTTTGTGCTGAGGTGAAAATAGTTTTTTCTCTATCTATTAAATTGGTATTGCAACACTCATGACACTTCCCTGTGTTGCAACACAAGCCTTGCAACACTCATGACACTTCCCTGTGTTGCAACACAAGCCTTACAACACTCATGACACTAGATTCTATCTTAATAAACTTCTATTTTGCCGAGCCTCTGTCTGATTGTTGATTGTGTAGAGCTAATGTTCATGCTTGCTGACCAAGAACATCTAAACGGTAAGATAAATCCCAGAAATTTCGCCAAATCTGATCCTGCAGCGAAATCCTTTGTCCTATTTCTTGAAGGATTCTTTTACTTACGATTGTTTTTTTTTGTGTTGCCGGTTTAAAAGATATGCAGTGGCGCCAGTGCTGAAGGCTAAGCAACCTCTCCTCCCTCCCTTGCTAGACTCCAGTCAAATGACGTTGAAACGACGTCTAATCAACGTTATTTCAACATTATTTCAACGTTATTTCAACATTATTGTCCGACATAGACTCTAAGTGAGACTAAGCAAACACGCGTTTTTGTATCGTACTCTCCTCTCTGTAAAGTAACGAGTGATCTTTTGTACCATCTCTTCTGTATCTATACTTCACGCCTAGACTTAAGAGGACATTTCTAATGTTGTAATATTATTTGGTACAATAAAACTCACGCAAACTTACGTGACTTGTCATTGCCCTGGACATGGAGAGCTTGTTTCGCCCCCAGCACGCGCTGCCACTAGTTAGTGATGGGTGTTAGGGTGTTAGTGGTCGCCAGTGATGAGTGTTAGTGGTCGTTAGTGATCGTTAGTGATGGGTGTTAGGGTGTTAGTGGTCGTTAGTGAAGGGTCTTAGGGTGTTAGTGGTCGTTAGTGAAGGGTCTTAGGGTGTTAGTGGTCGTTAGTGATGGGTGTTAGGNTGAAAGCAGGTTGCCAGCGTGCTGGTTACCTGCTCAGGCTGGCGCCTGAAACCATAGAATACAGAAGCCTATTCGTACAGGTTTTCACTGTGAACACTTACATTATTATCCTATGTTCATTCTTGTGGCAGGTTGGAGCAGGTTGCCCGCGCGGGCAAACCTGCTTTCACTGTATGCGTACCCATCCTGCCAGGCATATGCCTGTCACGGTCCAGTCCAATATTCTTTAATGCATTCCTATGGAAGCATTCACACCAGCCGTGCAAGGCACCTGTCATGCCCTTGGTGTGGATGCTCTTATGAAAATCATGAAAGATTATATTTATAATTATTGGGCTGAATCGTGACTGGCATATGCCTGGCAGTATGGAGAGAACCCGCCATTTAATTCTCAGATACCGAGACTAGAATGAAAAGTTTTGTTTTGACGGTGAACTGCCATGATGAGCTTGCTTGAACATTTTCGCATCGCATGTGGGATTTTGGGTTATGTGTAGTTTCTGTTGGGTTGCTCATGCCAATAAAGATATTTACAGGTTTTAATGAGGCGTTATTTTGCATTGAAAGATGTAGTATTGGTCTGACGAGTGCAAAAGTCCTGTAGGATCATAGGTTTATATTAATAAATTATCTCTTCCCCTTATTCAAACTTTTTCGAGTTAGTAATACGTGTGCTGATTTCGTATCTTGATAAAATATTTTTGGCAAATATTGGCCAACTGCATATTTTCATATTCAATATGAAAATATTTACCAATTAAAGTGCAATCGCGTTGTATCAATGAAAGCGATATTTTGATTTCATCTTGGTTTCCACTGTAGAAATGCAATTCATGCTAATCCAAGTCTCAAAATTCCGGATATGCTTAGGTCACTACGCTTTGCATATGTCAAAAGTTGGCTTGGTTTTTCGAATCATGTAGACGATGCTGTAGAATCATGATAGCCTTTCGAGAAATGTTTTCGGCTCTCTTCAAGTTTAGATTGAGCGAATTTGGTTATTAATCCCTCCTCTATACAAAATACTATTGTTTTCATCACCACTTTATCAGATGCTGGATTGAATTAATATTCAGAGCTCATGCAGGTAAGTAACACATTTTAAGTCAGCTTCTGATGACCAACAATCGTACTTCAATGCGCGTGTGACGGATGATGTTTTTTATATTAACTAATTACGTCGTCATTATTAATGTTTTTTATATTAACTAATTACGTCGTCATTATTAATTTGCCTGTTAACGAGAGTTACCGTCATTACGTCGTCAATATTAAAATGCCTGTTAACGAGAGTTACCGTCATTACGTCGTCAATATTAAAATGCCTGTTAACGAGAGTTGCCGTTATTACGTCGTCAATTTTAAAATGCCTGTTAACGAGAGTTACCGTTATTACGGCGTCAATATTTAAATGCCTGTTAACGAGAGTTACCCTTATTACGTCGTCAATATTAAAATGCCTGTTAACGAAAGTTACCGTTATTACGTCGTCAATATTAAAATGCCTGTTAACGAGAGTCACCGTTATTACGTCGTCAATATTAAAATGTCTGTTAACGAAAGTTACCGTTATTACGTCGTCAATATTAAAATGCCTGTTAACGAGAGTTACCGTTATTACGTCGTCAATATTAAAATGCCTGTTAACGAGAGTTACCGTTATTACGTCGTCAATATTAAAATGCCTGTTAACGAAAGTTATCGTCATTACGTCGTCAACATATCAATGTCTGTTAACCTGTTAACGAGAGTTACCGTTATTACGTCGTCAATATTTAAATGCCGGTTGACGAAACTTATACCGTTATTACGTCGTCAATATTAAAATGCCTTTTAACGAAAGTTACCGTTATTAGACAAAGAGTAATGATTTTCTTGCACACACCCAAGGATGCCAGGGCGTATCTAGACTCGAAGGCCCAGACCGACTTCCCTCTCGCGTGTATGGGTGGGAGGCCGCGGTGCGACTGCCGTCTGATCCAGCAGCCAGAGAACCTGCACCTCGTACCTTATCCATCTGGTCAACCTGCCAACACTGATCAAGTTTACGACAACGTACAAAATGCATTTAATCTCAATGCACCTAATGTTCCTTTTGAAATGTTTCTTTCTAACCATCGGTTATATGTGAACTGTATTCGCACAATATGGTTGCAACAACCGTATGCTGTTCGAAGTGATCCAAGTAACCCAGCCAACTTCCCTGCGTCGATTGACATGAGCCAATTCGACCGAGCGCTCCCCGAGGCTGTCCTGCAAGCAGAGTGTATAGATGATATTAACCAACGGAAAACCTTTATCGAAATCCAATTGCGATCCCTGGTATCGGCCGCGTCTGGATACTTGAACGTTATGGTCACTAATTTCGCCTCGACGGCAAATATTAACGAGCTCTGTTCCAAAATCAACGTATTTTACTCGAGTGTGATTAAGGCTCACAAGCGTCTCCTGCGCACTGGTCCTCTGCAAACCAGTACCGCTACGCCCTCAGCATCTGCACAGCGCCGCAATCCGCAGTCAAAGCGAAAACGTTCCCGGAAGATGAAAGCTGACTCCAAACCGGGACAAGAATCTAGGTTAACTGACACGTCCCAAGTTCCTCCGCAGGATTCGAACATCGATGCCTCTGGCACTCGAGGTCTTGCATCTGGTAACGCCGCGGACTCAATTAACAATCTCACTCAGCTATTTGAATCTCGGTTTACCCTATTTGGTCCGACGGGCCTGACACCTGTTTCTAATTCTATAAACATTTCGTCTCTAGATTTTAACAGAACTTTACGTTTCTCTTCAACGACTACGCATTATCTTCCTAATATGGTGCCGATATTTAACGGCCCTTATGGGTTGAACGTTCCATTCCCAGCTAACTTGGGAGGGGCACTTTCTCACATGCCGACATTCAATTCAACGATGCCTCAATCATCGGGCAATCCAGTCTCTGGGTCACCATTTACATTCACCTTTCCTTCATCAACAGCAATGCGTGCTCCCTGGATACCATCCACTCCCGAGGAGGATAGGGATGAATATCCACAATGATCTGCATTTTGCGATTATATTCTTGGATCCTTTCCCCACTTTTTGTTGTAAAATATTACGAAGAACTTAGTTCAGTTTGCGTACCTTCGGTTTGTGTCTAAGCAAACATTGGTATTAGATTCACCGTCTTTCATCCGCTCGTCTCGCAATATTTATCTACTAATCAACAGTCTAATTTGGCTGTTGTTTTAATTCTCGACGAGTGTGTGACTTGTACCAACTCTCACGTCTATGTTGGCGACTTATCGACGATGGTCATCGCTGCTCCGTCATATCTTCATTTCATGCATTGCGTGCCTCGAGCTGCTCAACGCCAAGACTAAATCTTCGCTTCGAAGGTTTTAATCGTGCTGAAGTCTGAATAATTAATTGACTGCCCTTCTTTCGAAGGGTCATCGAAAACTGTTGCTAACTGACGAAGCCTTATATGCGAACGGCTCCTCTTTTCTCCACGTGGGATAATTTATATTTGTTGATATTTTCTTCGGAAATTTGTACGTTGAATTTTAATGCTTAAAATGTGAGTTCATGTGAAATTAAACAGTTTTTGAGCGTTACTGATATCTCCGAGTGTTTCATACGCTGAATTGTGTGTGTGAATCTACCAATAAAAAGCCTTCTGAAAACTGTTCTTCTGATGGTCGGAAAGAGGCTCAATTTATTGGTTACGATTTTATTGCATGTCAAGCATACCCACGTGAGCATTTAAAAGCGCTCTGCAAACAGATGCTTCGTGCTTCTAATTCTTTTATTCTATTGACGGAAGGTTACGACAATGTGTAATTCTTAGCTGATTTCAGTTTTGTTTCTAATTAATTTAATAATCAATATATTTAGTCATTGTTTTATAACCCATATCACTTTATTCTGCGTCGGAAATTTTTATATTGTGCAGACAATGCATTTGTGCAATTGCACCTTTTCCCTAGTTACTACTCGTGCATGCATCATACATACGCATTCTCGAAAACAATGACAAACGTGCGTTAAAATAAAAATTTGCTAGAGTTGGTGTCGTATCACAGAAGTGCAGACGCAAAAAAAAAAATGCACGTGGCATAATGTTGTCCAAATTGTGACTCACTTTTTGCACGAAGCACTGATACGCTAAACTGGGTCAGTATGACGCACTGATGGGCAAAAAAAAGCATCAATATTTTAACAAAGTCTCACTGATTTCTTTCAGTGTACGCTCCGCTAATACTGTTAATTGTCTCGCTCATCAGCCCGAAAAACTCACTCACTCTTAGTTGTCCACGCTGGCGTTTTGATGACCGCGTTGAAAAATATGCAAGAGTTCACATTTAAACATCTTATTACGAAATGTAATAAGATGTGCAATGATGTTCCACCGCCCCCATACATAACTCTGTCAGAAAATCATTTGTGGCTTTTCAAGCTAAACCAACCTATATATCACCGACGAGAAAAAGATTAGAGTGTCACTCGCCTGCGCTTGAAATTAGATGAGTACTTGATTCAATTTATTTTAATTTGATAAATTTAATTAATTAGCCAAGGTATGATATACGGTTCTATCGATCAACGATCTGAACCGAGATAAATTCGATGCCAGATCAAAATAAACAATGATAGATCGAAGTAAGCGATCTTTGTTCGGCATAAACGATGCTAGATAGGAATGCATGCTTCTACATCGAAATCGATCTTATGTCGAAATGAACGATACTAAGTCAAAATAAGCTCTAGAAATGACAGCTGCTATCTTGCAGTAGATCTGCTGGGGCCATACTTTCAAAACTCGCTAAGTGAACGTAAGTACTTACGCTCTATTTTCTTGTCTATGATTGGTGGATTTGGCTTGAAAGGATTAGGGCTATTAAGGCTTATTGACACTGTGCCAGGGCTTATTGGAACTGTTTTAGGGCTATTAAGGCATATTGACACTGGGTCAGGGCTTATTGGGAACGTGTTATGGCTGGTTGGTACTGTGGTAAGGCTTGTTGGGAGTGTTAGGGATCAGTGAGTGAGGTGCGTTGGGTCTGAATCGCTACCGCACGTTCACTCTATCGCCTGCGACGATTTGTTTTTTTCCCCGTTTTTCTGTACACTCATACCGGCCGTAAGTGTCTCCTCATGGTAAGTGTCCCGTGTACCGTCCGTAAGTGTCCTCTCACGGTAAGGATCCCGTAACCAACGGTAAGTGTCCCGTCAAGTGTACCAACTCGAGACGGCTACTTAGCCTAAGGCTGAGTCCACTATCATCTTTCAGCTTCATTTTCTGATGTATAATCGCGTCTGAGTCGAAAAATGTTTTGCGANTTATTATTCTTTTATATATTACAGATTAAATTAATAATAATATTGTATATTTTCTATTATATATTTTATTTAACATAGTCTCCTCGAAGAATGTGTTAACTGTCGTTCGCGACCAAATGTTACTAACGTCACCAACCGCGGGTTGTTGACTTTATCAACGGGATTGCAAGGCAAATTACTATATAATATCGTGTTTAAATATAGTTCGTTCCCGATAGTCATTAACCTTACCAAACCTAAATATTTTCTCATCAAATTTACTGATGTGATTTGCAGGGCACTTACCAAACCTAAATATTTTCTTAGTAAATTTATTAATGTTTTTTGCAGGGCACTTACCAAACCTAAATATTTTCTTTTCAAATTTATTGATGTGATTTGCAGGGCACTTACCAAACCTAAATATTTTCCTATAAATTTTACTGATGTGATTTGCAGGGCAAATTACAATTTAATATTATTTTTAAATATAGTTCGTTCCTGAAATTTATTAACGTTACCAAACCGAAAGATTTTCTTATCAATTGGAAATATGCTGATATTATGTCAGTTATGCTTATTATCTCATCACAATCGTGTCTAGAAACGTCTTCTTATATAGTGTGCTTGAATATCGATTCCTTGAGTCCGGCAAGTCGTGAACGCGAATAAATAATGTAGTTTTTTTTGTAACACGTCAGTTTCCCTACCCCCAGTTTGTTTGAGGTTATAAATAGGGTGTATGTGCATCTAAACTCGAACAACGCTTATAAGTATCCGTACTTAGGTGTGCATTTGATATATCTTGTCCTGCATTGTTAAAGTGCACTATATCTACACCAATTATTATCCAACGCTTGAAAGGTTATGCAACGCTTGAATTTTAAATTCTTTCCCGGGTCGTTTCAAGTCTTAATTTTCCATTTGTATCCACAATACCCCTTATTTGTACTTGTGTTTTTCATCATTTCAAATTTAAGTGTTGCAAAAGCTCCTATGTGTCTGCACGATGTATGTCTTAATTGCGTTGCATGGTGCTATGACGAAAACGTCATGATGTTTGCCATGACACTGGCACGAAGTAGGAGCGACTAAAGCATTATTTTGACGTTACATTATACATGAACTTTATAAATATGCGTTATACTCCATAGCTAGGTTTCCGTTACTCATACAGCATGTGTAAAAAGTTTCTACGTCCTCACGTACCTTTCACAATTATAACGGATTCACATGTTAATCAATTCCCATTTTTAGCGCATTTTCTCATTTATTGAAAAAATGCCCTATATGCGCTCGTCATGTCCGTCTGTCTGACCGTCCGTCTGTCCGTGACATCACGTTTTCGTCGACGAGAAAATGCGCTCTCTGTCACTCACTGCAGTGAGTACTGAGTTATATTTTTTAGTCGTACAGTGGGTAACAGGAAGATTATAAGATTGTATGCTTTATGCGTAGTACAACTTGAGTTCGTAGTGTGCATAGCTAAAATTGGCTACTACTGAAGACGTTATCAGAGCTGTGAAGAGTTGAAGTTGAGTAATACAAACGTATTCCGAGCTGTTTACAGCTGAAATTAGGTAGTACAGACGTATCTCGAGCTGTTTACAGCTGAAATTAGGTAGTACAGACGCATCTCGAGCTGTTTACANAGGTACTACAGTACGCATTTCGAGCTGTTTACAGCTGAAATTAGGTACTACAGACGTATTTCGAGCTGTTTACAGCTGAAATTAGGTACTACAGTACGCATTTCGAGCTGTTTACAGCTGAAATTGGTTACTACAGACGTATTTCGAGCTGTTTACAGCTGAAATTATATAGGTATTGCAAGCGTATTTCGAAATGGTTACAGCTGAAATTAGGTTATTACAGACGTATTTCGAGCTGTTCACAGTTGCTGTTAGAGATTGCAGACGATATTTGATATTGGTTAAGTTCAATTTGGGTAGTGCTGGCATAATTCTTGCTGCGTACAGCTGCCGACGTGATTATAGTAGTGAACGTGAACAGCTGAAGTGAGAGTCGGAAGGAGCTGCTCGATGCAGCGCATTAGCAGGACAATAGCACAGCGCTGCATAAACTTCGTTGTTGCTCATTTGCATGCACGTCACTGCGTCGTGGCTCTACCCTCACACAGTCGCCTCTGCTCACCAGCCTGTCTTGCTATAATGGTTAAATGTAACGCAGCGGCACCACGCGAATAAAACTGTGTGTGATGTAGTACGGCTTCATCCCACAAGTACAACTGTGTGTGATATAGAACGGCTTCATCCCACAAATACAACTGTATGTGATGTAGTACGGCTTCATCCCACAAGTACAACTGTATGTGATGTAGTACGGCTTCATCCCACAAGTACAACTGTATGTGATGTAGTACGGCTTCATCCCACAAGTACAACTGTGTGTGATATAGTACGGCTTCATCCCACAAATATAACTGTATGATGTAGTCCGGCTTTGATTATTTCTGATTGACAAGAAGATTTTTCAAACGTTGAATGAGTGATCTTGCTTACTCATACAGAGACAGCGAGTGTGGCGCTAGGTTGACCCATGTCACTATTTGGACACCATAACTCGTGTATTTCTAAGACTGCATTTAGGAAGACCCAATCAAACTATCCGCTTTGTTTTAGTTGTAACTTTGTTATAACTATCCCATTATCCCCATACTGCACCTTGTATGGGGATTTCATTTCTCCTAAGGCAGAACGATCGCGGCCTTCAAGCCAGTGACAGGCTTCAGCTTCACGCATGCTCCCTCCCTACACCCAGAAAAATGAATGGTCTACTTGTCCAAATATAAACACTTTCTTGCCCACAACACGAGCTTGAGTAGAAGTAGCACTGATACCTGCTTTGCCGAACCGAACTGGGTCAAGCAAACGCATACGCGGGCACAAAGTACATCGTTACTTAGACAATGTTTCGCTTATTTCTCCGAGTGTACGACCAGGACATCTTGGCTTTTGTCTCCTCAACTGCCTGTTGTTAAGGATAAATTAACGTGTAATTCTAATGTTTGCTCGCACAGTCGCACATGTGTCTTTAAGCTATCTTTTTTATTTCAGATGTTCGAACGAAATTTCTCGCATAATTTGGGTGTTCGTTATTTCAAGGACTGCTAGTTATAAATAACCCCTGCGATAGTTACTACTACATTTGTAACTACCTATAGTTCGATAAGTTACATTTGCAATTATAGACGTTGGTACGGAGATGGTGGAGGTAGAGATGACCTGGTTTTGATGTGAAGGATGGTAATGAGATATTTCTGATGCACTACTCCATTGTACAGCTGAACAGCTGTACTGTACAGCCGATGATGTGTGTTGCGTGAGGCATTTTCAATTGTTCGTGGCTGATGTTTCATCGATAGTATCGCTAAGACTGATGCTGACGTATCTCAAATACCGGGATGGTTTGTGGGCTTAGCTGATAACAATCGGCGATGCCGCGGTGGCTAACGATCAGAGGCTATACTTTCAAAACTCGCTAAGTGAACGTAAGTTCTTACGCTCTATTTTCTTGTCTATGATTGGTGGATTTTGCT